CATGAACGATTTCAGAATATTACTCTTGTAACTGAATTGTTCTTAACCCTAAACTAGAATGCTTCCAACAACAGAAATTGCGACCTTAGTTTGCTAACAATGGTTTTCAGAAACACACCCCTAAACAAAACTATTTCAGTATATTAGTCTTGCTCCTGAATTGTTCTCAACCCTAACTAGAACATTTCTATTGCCATAACTTGTGCCCTTAGTTGGCTAACAATGGTTTGGAAGTTTGAAAAAAGATGTTTGGAAAGATGGATGTGGGAAACACCAAATCAATTAATCATGTTTTTAACAGCAGAAATTGCGACACTAGTTGGCTATGACGATGGTTTTCGGAAACACACCCATGAACGATTTCAGAATATTACTCTTGTTCCTGATTTGATCTCAACCCTAACTAGAACGTTAGTAATGGGAGAAATTGTGACTTTAGTTGGCAATGATGATGGTTTTCGGAAACACACCCCTGAACGATACCATTTCACAATATTAATCTTGTTTCCTGAATTGTGCTCAACCCTAACTAGAGCATTTTATAATGGTAAATCTTGTGCCCTTAGTTGAATATAACAGTGGTTTTCAGAAACTCACCCCTGAATGATACTGTAACAAGGTTCTTTGTGTGGGAAGAAGAAGACAGGGTCGGCGTTGAGGTAAATAACAGATTTCTTTTATTTTTAATAATGTATCACTGTCAAGGCCAGCTCCCACTGTGTGGCCGTCGTTCAGCTCTCTCTCTCTCCCGACTGTTCCTCCCGTTCTCCTTAAGACGGGTGTCTCTCCGGTCCAATCACTAGAATAAACAGGTGTTGCTTATTATTTCGGATTGGCCTGCTGATTAGCCGCCGGGCTCTGAGCATGCTTTCCCCCTTTATTGGGTATTCGATCATGCTTACCTCTCCACAGATACCATTTCAGAATATTACTCTTGTTCCCTGAATTGTGCTCAACCCTAACTAAAGCATTTTTAAATGGTAGATCTTGCACCCATAGATAAATATAACAGCGGCTTTGCAACCTTAGTTGGCTATTAAAGTGATTTTCGGAAACTCACCCCTGAATGATACTACTTAAGAATATAACTTGTTACTGAATTGGTCTCAACCTTAAGTAGAACGTTTGTAACATCAGAAATTGCTACCTTAGTTGACTAACAATGGTTTGGAAGTTTGGAAATGATGTTTGCAAAGATGGATTAGGGAAACACCAAATCAATAAACTATGTTGGTAAACGGCAGAACTTGTGACCTTAGTTGGCTATGACACTTGTTTTCGGAAACACACCCATGATTGATTTCAGAATATTACTCTTGTAACTGAATTGTTCTCAAACCTAAACTAGAATGCTTCCAACAACAGAAATTGCGACCTTAGTTGGCTAACAATGGTTTTCAGAAACACACCCCTAAACAAAACTATTTCAGTATATTAGTCTTGCTCCTGAATTGTTCTCAACCCTAACTAGAACATTTCTATTGCCATAACTTGTGCCCTTAGTTGGCTAACAATGGTTTGGAAGTTTGAAAAAAGATGTTTGGAAAGATGGATGTGGGAAACACCAAATCAATTAATCATGTTTTTAACAGCAGAAATTGCGACACTAGTTGGCTATGACGATGGTTTTCGGAAACACACCCATGAACGATTTCAGAATATTACTCTTGTTCCTGATTTGATCTCAACCCTAACTAGAATGTTAGTAATGGCAGAAATTGTGACTTTAGTTGGCTATAACGATGGTTTTTCGGAAACACACCCCTGAACGATACCATTTCACAATATTAATCTTGTTCCCTGAATTGTGCTCAACCCTAACTAGAGCATTTTATAATGGTAAATCTTGTGCCCTTAGTTGAATATAACAGTGGTTTTCAGAAACTCACCCCTGAACAACACCATTTTAGAATATTACTCTTGTTCCTGATTTAGTCTCAACTGTAACTAGAATGTTAGTAATGGCAGATCTTGTGACTTCAGTTGGCTATAACAGTGGTTTTCAGAAACTCACCCCTGAATGATACCATTTCAGAATATTACTCTTGTTCCCTGAATTGTGCTCAACCCTAACTAAAGCATTTTTAAATGGTAGATCTTGCACCCATAGATAAATATAACAGCGGCTTTGCAACCTTAGTTGGCTATTAAAGTGATTTTTGGAAACTCACCCCTGAATGATACTACTTAAGAATATAACTTGTGTTACTGAATTGGTCTCAACCTTAAGTAGAACGTTTGTAACATCAGAAATTGCTACCTTAGTTGACTAACAATGGTTTGGAAGTTTGGAAGTGATGTTTGCAAAGATGCATTAAGGAAACACCAAATCAATAAACTATGTTTGTAACGGCAGAACTTGTGATCTTAGTTGGCTATGACACTTTTTTTCGGAAACACACCCATGAACGATTTCAGAATATTACTCTTGTAACTGAATTGTTCTTAAACCTAAACTAGAATGCTTCTAACAACAGAAATTGCGACCTTAGTTTGCTAACAATGGTTTTCAGAAACACACCCCTAAACAAAACTATTTCAGTATATTAGTCTTGCTCCTGAATTGTTCTCAACCCTTACTAGAACATTTCTATTGCCATAACTTGTGCCCTTAGTTGGCTAACAATGGTTTGGAAGTTTGAAAAAAGATGTTTGGAAAGATGGATGTGGGAAACACCAAATCAATTAATTATGTTTTTAACAGCAGAAATTGCGACACTAGTTGGCTATGACGATGGTTTTCGGAAACACACCCATGAACAATTTCAGAATATTACTCTTGTTCCTGATTTGATCTCAACCCTAACTAGAACGTTAATGGGAGAAATTGTGACTTTAGTTGGCAATGACGATGGTTTTCGGAAACACACCCCTGAACGATACCATTTCACAATATTAATCTTGTTCTCTGAATTGTGCTCAACCCTAACTAGAGCATTTGTAATGGTAAATCTTGTGCCCTTAGTTGAATATAACAGTGGTTTTCAGAAACTCACCCCTGAACAATACCATTTTAGAATATTACTCTTGTTCCTGATTTAGTCTCAACTGTAACTAGAATGTTAGTTATGGCAGATCTTGCGACTTTAGTTGGCTATAACAGTGATTTTCAGAAACTCACCCCTAAATGATACCATTTCAGAATATTACTCTTGTTCCCTGAATTGTGCTCAACCCTAATTAAAGCATTTTTAAATGGTAGATCTTGCACCCATAGATAAATATAACAGCAGCTTTGCAACCTTAGTTGGCTATTAAAGTGATTTTCGGAAACTCACCCCTGAATGATACTACTTAAGAATATAACTTGTGTTACTGAATTGGTCTCAACCTTAAGTAGAACGTTTGTAACATCAGAAATTGCTACCTTAGTTGGCCAACAATGGTTTGGAAGTTTGGAAATGATGTTTGCAAAGATGGATTAGGGAAACACCAAATCAATAAACTATGTTGGTAAACGGCAGAACTTGTAATCTTAGTTGGCTATGACACTTGTTTTCGGAAACACACCCATGATTGATTTCAGAATATTACTCTTGTAACTGAATTGTTCTCAAACCTAAACTAGAATGCTTCCAACAACAGAAATTGCGACCTTAGTTTGCTAACAATGGTTTTCAGAAACACACCCCTAAACAAAACTATTTCAGTATATTAGTCTTGGTCGTGAATTGTTCTCAAACCTATCAAGAATGTTTGCAATGACAGTAATTGCGACCTTAGTTGGCTAACAATGGTTTGGAAAATGTATTTGCAAAAATGGATTCAGGAAACACCAAATCAATCAACTATGTTTATAACTGTAACGGGGAGACTGACACGAAGGGATCCATTTTGCAGTATTTATTAGACACAGTTCAAACACAAACATCCAACACGCACTAAAGTGCCAACACACATCAACAGTAATCAATAAAGGTCGTGGGGCTGGTGGCTGACAGACACAGAGTGATTTACCAGGCATAGATCAGTGGCAGGCGGCGTGGTTCAGAGTCCTTTGACAGGCATGGGTCGAGGGCAGGCAGCGTGGTTCAGAGTCCGTGTATAAAGCAAGGGTTGAGGGCAGGCAGAAGGCAACTCAGAGTCAGAAACAGTCCGGGGTTATGCACAGAAGATCAGGCAGGAAAGAACGCTCAGTAATGCTGGCCGGGGCTAAACAAGACTTCGCAAAGAACTGGTGTTTGAGTGTGGCTTATATGGGAAGCATGGGTCGTTAATGGGATTCAGATCAGGTGTGTGCACAATCAGTCTAGGTGGATGATGTAATGCTTAGAAGTCCGGGGATGGCGGCCTCTGCTGGCTAGCGAGGGGAATGACTTGAACCGAGTCGGTGACAATAACGGCATAACTTAGTTGGCTATGACAATAGTTTGACCCCTGAACAATACTATTTCAGAATATAAGGTCCAATTCCAATTCTACACCTTAGCCCTAATCCTTACTCCTCATTTTGCGTGTTTATGCTAAGTTTGGCTATCTATAATCCATAATAATATCTACTGTATAGCAGTAGTTTCACTTCTCTCACTTGATGACGCTGGAATACCCTGTCAGAAAAATCTAGTGGCTGGGAACGACCATTTTACAGTGTCTGCTATAATGTTAATGTTGTTTTTGTGTGTTTACATAGGTGAACATGGCCATAGTGTAAATGCACAGCACAGCTATGGGCTTATTGCCACATTATATCGCTATGATAACATGTTATCGCAGCCTTCAGTGATTTCCTGAAGATAAATCCCAAAAAAATAACACAACTGGAACAATTACAACAGTCAATCTCATATTAAGTAAGAGATTGCCATGCATATGATGCCGTGTGTGTGTATTGTAGGGCTGTCCCATTCCTTAGAGGTACATTTTAAAGCCCCTTCCCTTCACACTCTGTTTCAAGGGTCAATGTGGAAGAGGTAAAACAATGGAATTGGGAATGGGCTTTTCTCTAGTTCCTGAATTTAGTATTTTCTTACACCTGACCTGCTGTTTCTTCTCTTCTTCAGTACGGCTGATGAATGGTAAATCCCAGTGTGAGGGTCGTGTGGAGGTCCTGCATAACGGCACATGGGGGACGGTCTGTGATGATGACTGGGACATGGTGGACTCCAATGTGGTCTGCAGACAGCTGGACTGCGGTGTGGCCGTGGCCGTCGGAAGCAGCTCCAGATTTGGACAAGGCTCCGGTCCAATTCTGCTGGACAACGTGGACTGTAAAGGAGGAGAGATGGACTTGAGCCAGTGTGGGAATCAGGGATGGGGCGTCCATAACTGCTACCATTATGAAGATGTGGCCGTCACATGTAGAGGTATGTGGATGAGCTGAAAATAGAAAATGAAAATGGCCGACTAGGATATTATGCAAGGCAACATGCTCTTATTGAACGTTGAATTTCTTGCTCGTTTTTATGTTTAATGTACATTCATGTACATTAAAAAATGTTATTGCATCTGTAATTATTTTTGTATATACATTTATAAAAACACTCTTGACCCATCCCTTAGCTTAACCCAAACTTAAACCTACCCTATCCTTACAACTGAGTAACGATTGATGACCAACTAAACTTCTCTGACCACATCTCTAGAACGGCTTGATCTTGCAGATTTGCATTCTATAACATCATAAAGGTCCAACCCTTCCTATCTGAACATGCAGCTCAACTCCTTGTTATTCCCCTGTATATATTAACAACACTGCTGTGGAGACTGTACAGCAGATAAAATTCCTGGGGGTCCATGTTACTGAGAACCGGACTTGGTCTCTCCATACCATTTGTCTTGCGAAGAAAGCGCACCAGCGACTGCACTTTCTGAGAAGGTTGAAAAGAGCACACCTCAGCCAATCAATCCTCAACTTTTTACAGAGGAGCTGTTGAGAGTGTTCTTACTAATTGGCATCTCCCTTTGGTATGAGAATAGCAGTGTGTCTGACATGAACACCATTAAGAGGATCATAAAGTCAGCTGAAAGGTCTGTTGGAGTCAAAATGACATCTATCGAGGAACTTTACCAACGCCGTTGTCTGTCTAGGGCAAATAACATTTTAGGGGATCAAACCCACCCTGGTCATAGCCTCCTCTCACTCATGCCATCAGGCAGGCGTTACAGAAGCCTGAGGAGCAAATCAGTGCGGTTTCGAGAGAGTTTTTATCCTGTCATTATAAGACTTTTAAATAATACCATTTCTTAAGCATTGTTGATAGCTAGCGTTAAAAATAAATACATTTGTTAAACTAGCATAAATTGTTAATATTACAACAAATGGTGAAATAAGTATTTATGTATTAAGTTATTCTCTTCAGAGATTTTAAAAAAATGGGTTATTTCTTCTATAATTATATTTTTTTATATTTCTATGGAATTATAAAAGCTTATTTATCATGTTAGGATTTTATAGTGTTTTTATAGTAATGTTTTTTATGTTCTTGTTGGGTCTGTTGCAACGTAATTTCGTTCTGCATTACAATTCTATTGTGATGATTTGAATGACATTAAATAAAGGAAACTGGAAACTTGTTCAAGCTCTTGTTCTCTCAAGACTGGACTATTGCAACTCTCTACTAGCCAGGCTTCCAGCTAACTCTATCAAACCTCTTCAGCTGCTTCAGAACGCAGCAGCACGAGTGGTCTTTAATGAACCTAAAAGAGCACATGTCACTCCGCTACTCACCCGTTTGCACTGGCTGCCAGTTGCTGCTCGCATCAAATTCAAAGATCTGATGTTTGCTTACAAAGCGACTTCTGGCTTTGCTCCTTCTTATCTGCTCTCACTTCTGCAGATTTATTTACTCTCCAGAAACTTGCGTTCTGTGAATGAACATCGCCTCGTGGTTCCATCCCAAAGAGGGAAGAAATCACTTTCCTGAACTCTCGCATTCAATCTGCCCAGTTGGTGGAATGAACTCCCTAACTGCATCAGAACGGCAGAGTCACTCACTGTCTTCAAGAAACGACTTAAAACTCAACTATTTAGTCTCCACTTTACTTCCTAATCAGCAACTCCCTCTCTGACTCCACCGCTAACTGTTCTACAAAAAAAAAAATGACTAATGTTTTTCTTCTTACACTTTACATACCTGAAACTTGCCTACAGCACTTATTCATTGTTGCTCTTATAGTTGTGTAAATTGCTTTCTTGTCCTCATTTGTAAGTCGCTTTGGATAAAAGCGTCTGCTAAATGACTAAATGTAAATGTAAATATTCCCAAACCTGTCCCTAACCTTACCCGCATCTCTCTTCAAGAGCACCAGAAGTGTTGTGCAGTACTATACTCATGGTTTGTTTTCTCACAGGCAATAATGTTGTTGAAATGCGAGCGGCGCCCACCACACCAACCCCCCAGAGCTCTGGATTAAGTGAGTTGCACTTTTTATATAAACTCTTATCTGAGGATAACAACTTCAGGTTTTAATAATTAGCACTGGGCAAAGACTAATCAAGCGTAATCACATCCAAAGTAAAAGTTTGTTTTGACATAACATATATGTGTGTGTATTAGGCCTATATATATTATATAGTGCAGGGGTTCTCAACTGGTTTGGCAATGGGACCCACATTTTTACATGGTCATCAAGCCGCAACCCAAATTTTTAGGAACTATAATACAATTTTCATTCATTCATTCATTAATTTTCTTTTCGGCTTAGTCCCTTTTTTAATCCGGGGTCGCCAGAGCAGAATGAACCGCCAACTTATCCAGCAAGTTTTTAAGCAGCGGATGCCCTTCAAACCGCAACCCATCTCTTGGAAACATCCACACACACATTCACACACACACTCATACACTACGGACAATTTAGCCTACCCAGTTCACCTGTACCGCATGTCTTTGGACTGTGGGGGAAACCGGAGCACCCGGAGGAAACCCACGCGAACGCAGGGAGAACATGCAAACTCCACACAGAAACAACTGATCCAAGGCTCGAACCAACGACCCAGTGACCTTCTTGCTGTGAGGCGACAGCACTACCTACTGCGCCACTGCCTCGCCCCTATAATACAATTTTAGGAATTATAATTGATTTGTATTTATTTGTTAACATTCACAAGTGACAGATAAATCATAAGAAAAACACCAAGACTTACAAATAAACAATATTTAATGTATCAAATTACAGAGTAAAAGCAACAAATACTGTAAACAGTGGTTAGGGTAAGGAAAGGTTCAGTTACCATGAACTAAACCAGGGGTCACCAATCTTGGTTCTGGAGGGCCGGTGTCCCTGCAAGGTTTAGCTCCAACTTGCATCAACACACCTGCCTGGGTGTTTAAGGTATACCTAGCAAGTCCTTGATTAGATAGTTCAGGTGTGTTTGATTAGGGTTGGAGCTAAAATCTGCAGGACACCGGCCCTCCAGGAACAAGTTTGGTGATCCATGAACTAAACTGTTAATAAAACATGTTGTCTAGTTTCTAAATGTTGTTTTAATTTAGAAGGTTTCGTGCTTTCTTGTGAGAGCACCCCACTACTTATGACACACTGAGGCTTTAAGTCTTTTTTTTTTTTGTCGTCAATATATGTAAATCCATACTTTACATATTCTGGGTCGTACTAGCGCTTTGACTTGCTAAAATTAAACGAAATTTCATATGTCAAATGGTACGTTTGTCGTGCACGCATTTCAAAATAAAAGTTAAAATAAGTTAAAAATTAAACTTTTGTTGTTGTTTTTTTGACCACACACTCCGCAACCCACTGAAAATGTTCCTGCAACCCACTTTTGGGTCAAGACCCACCAGTTGAGAAACACTGATATAGTGATAGAAACAAATCTATACAAAAACCGAAAATAATTTTCATTCATTCAATCATTTTCCTGAGGCTTAGTTCCTTATTTATCAAGGGGCGCCACAGCAGAATGAACCACCAACTATTCCAGCATGTGTTTTACACGGTGGATGCCCTTCCAGCTGCAACCCAGTGATTATCACTGTGGCCTCACAGCAAGAAGGTCGCTGGTTCGAGTCCCAGCTGGTTTAGCTGGCGCTTCTGTGTGGAGTTTGCATGTTCTTCCCTTGTTGGCGTGGGTTTCCTTCGGGAGCTCCGATTTCTCCCACAGTCCAAACACATGTGATAGATGAATTGATGAACTAAATTGGTTGTACTGTACAAGTGTGTGTGTGTGAATAAGTGTGTAATGGTGTTTCCCAGCACTGGGTTGCAGCTGGAAGGGCATTCCCTGCGTAAAATTCACTCCGCTGTGGCGACCCATCATAAATGAAGGACTAAGCCGAAGGAAAATGAATGAATGAATGTTGTGAACATCACAGAAACATTTGCATATTATTATATTAACATGCATTTATTTATATATAAATGCATACAATTCTGTGGCTCCTGGTCAACTATAACTCAAAGTAGACTCAACATTTCTCGCGATGTGATTATTGCAGATGTGCACATTGCTAAAACAATATATTGTGCAGCCCTAGTTGTGGATATCAGAAATATTTGCTCCCAGAAAACCCTGATTGACCTCTTTTTTTTGCTGTAGGAGATGGATCGGTTCGTCTGGCGGGGGCGGCGGACCGCTGTCAGGGCCGGGTGGAGGTCTACTATCAGGGAAACTGGGGGACGGTGTGTGATGATGACTGGAGCATAGCAGATGCCACAGTCGTGTGTCAACAGCTCAGCTGCGGGTCAGCGGTCGGAGCTCCAACAAATGCCTACTTCGGCTACGGCACGGGCCGGATTCTGCTGGACAACGTGAACTGCAACGGGCACGAGAGCAGCCTGGCCTCCTGCTACAGCCTCGGGTGGGGAGTCAATAACTGCGGACACCATGAGGACGCCGGCGTTATCTGCTCAGGTACTGCTATTGCACATCCAGTCGGATCAGTTCTGAAGGCCCAAACAGAAATACGTGTAATAGTGAGTGTTTTGTTTCATCTTTATCTCTATAGCACTTCTACAATGTAGATTGCATCAAAGCAGCTTAACGTAGAATATTATAGTAAACTGAGACTGAGTCAGTCCAGTTTTCAGAGTTGAAGTACGGTTTAGTTCAGTTCAGTGTGGGTTAATTTTCACTGCTGAGAGTTCAAACACTGAAGAGCAAATCCATCGATGTGCAGCTCCACAAGTCCCAAACCAGGCAAGCCAGTGGCGACAGTGGAGGAATAAACTTAACCAATTGACCAAAGTGAACGAAAAAAAACCTTGAAAGAGACCAGGCTTAATTGGGCACGACCATTTCTCCTCTATGATTGTCACGATTGTGACCCAGACAACTGAAGTAGAATCCTTGTGCAGGTTTATTGAGAGTCAGGCAAGCAATGGTCAACACGGGTGCAAACAGATGTATAGAGGCAGTCCAGAATCGTAGTCAAATAGCAGGCGAGAGCTCGTAAGGCAGGCGGCAGACTAGGACAAACGGCTAACAAGGCAAAGGTCTAAACAAAGGAAAACACAACCCAAGCTCATTCTGGAAACGTAGCCCCGCGGAAGTTTCTGGAGACCGCGATTTACATGGCCGGAGGTATGTACAGCCGCGTTTAGTTTTTCTGGAGCGAATGCTGCGGGGCGGTGTGGCGCCGCTTCGCTCCTCCTCTTCGCGCTCGCCGGCCAACGGCTCGCCTCCGAGTGGGCTTTCCCACTGCTACCAGTTTGTCCGCTTAGCTTGCAGCGTTACGTCGGCGGAGCAGAAGCCCGGAGGAGGAGGAGCCAGCCGCGGGGATGACCAGGATCGGGTCCGGGCAAGAGCGGTTCCAGAATTCAGGTAAGATGAAAAACAGAATCCGAAAACTAAGGACGAGAACGCGGCGGGATCCGAAAACGCGGTCAAAATCAAAGACGAAGGCTCTTGCTTTTTTTTTTTTTTAATGGACGGCTTTTGCAAACCGTGGCTTGGGTTTAGGGAAGGAGGAGGAGGAGGAAGAGGAGGGTGGCCGGGTCGGCCGATCGACCGGCCGATCTTTCGGTCGTTCAGCCGGCCAGTCGGTCGCTCCACAGCGGCCTTCGGCAGCTTTTCGCACGAGAACAGCGTGGGCGCGAACGGCGAGCGCTCCCGAGAGGCACTCGAGACGCGAAAAACCGCGCACAGCGGCCTCTTGCGGATCCGTGAAAACAAAAACCGCTCGAATACATACCTCCCGGGACATATTTCGCGATCCGCAGAAATGTCCGCGGGGCTACGTTTCCACAATGAGCCCGGGTTGGGAAAACAAGACGAGGATAACGTGTTGTAATGTCACTTTACAGCTAACAAGACTCAGCCCTGGGAGTGAGTGTGTGTGTGTACTGCCTATATAGTGTGTGTAATCAGTCTGACAATCTTTAGGTGGTGCAAGTGTAATCAGTCTAGATGAGGAAGCATGTGTGAGCGGAGTGCGTGTATGAAAATGTAGTCCACAAACGGCGGATTTGTAGTCCATAAGTTAATATGAGTGAGATCCAGTGACTTATGAAGTGCGATCGCTGGTAATCGTGACAGAAATAATTAAATGTTGACCAAAGCGAACACATTATATATCTAAACAACACATACATTCTATACCACTACTACAATGCTTTGATTTTGACAATGTTTTCTTTATTAATAATTTATTTGATAAATTATACAGTAAAAACTGTAATATTATTAGATATTATTTATAGTTTTTCTTTAAAAATATAAAATTACTTTATATCTAAATTCTATTAAAATAGATGTTTAAAAAGTTATCCCTAGCTGTGATTTAAAGATCATCAAATAAATTATATACATGTATACACAGCTGAAGTCAGAATTATTAGCCCTTATTATTATTAAATGGAAAGATTTTATTAAATATCCATTTTATTTATGTATTTAAAAATTAATAATAAATATTTGACTAGACATTTACTACTAGATACAAGTATTTGGCTTAAAATGACATTTAAAGGCTTAACTAGGGTAATTAGGGTGAAGTTAGGGTGATTAGGCAAGTCATTGTATAACAGTGGGTTGTTCTGTAGACAATCCAAAGCTAATATTGCTTAAGGAAGCTAATAATATTGACCTTAAAATGGCTTTTAATGAAAAAAAATAATTTTTTAGCCAAAATAAAACTTAAAAAATATATTATAGGATAAACTGTGAAAGTTTCCCTGATCTGTTAAATATCACTAAAGAATATGTATACATTTTTTTGGGTCTATTCTCATGAATTTGATCAATAATACAGTAAAAACTATAATAATAATAAGATTTTTTTTTATTTCTTTTCTATCATAATATATGTCTGTAATATGATTTATTGCTGTTATTGTAAGATCATCAAAGATATGATATACACTTACCGGCCACTTTATTAGGTACACCTTACTAGTACCGGTTTGGACCCCCTTTTGCCTTCAGAACTGCCTTAATCCTTCATGGCATAGATTCAACAAGATACTGGAAATATTCCTCAGAGATTTTGCTCCATATTGACATGATAGCATCACACAGTTTCTGCAGATTTGTCGGCTGCACATCCATGATGAGACTCTCCTGTTCCACCACATCCCAAAGATGCCTGTGGAGGCCATTTGAGTACAGTGAACTCATTGTCATGTTCATGAAACCAGTCTGAGATGATTCACACTTTATGACATGGTGTGTTATCCTGCTGAAAGTAGCCATTAGATGATGAGTACACTGTGCTCATAAAGGGATGGACATGGTCAGCAACAATACTCGAGTAGGCTGTGGTGCTCAACACCATGCTCAATTGGTACTAATGAGCCCAAAGTGTGCCAAGAAAATCTCCCCCACACCATTACACCACCACCACCAGCCTGAACTGTTGATACAAGGCAGGATGGATCCATGGTTTCATGTTGTTGATGCCAAATTCTGACCCGACCATACGAATGTGGCAGCAGAAATGGAGCCTCATCAGAGCAGGCAACGTTTCTCCAATCTTCTATTGTCCAGTTTTGGTGAGCCTGTGTGAATTGTAGCCTCAGTTTCCTGTTCTTAGCTGACAGGAGCGGCACCCGGTGTGGTCTTCTGCTGCTGTAGCCCATCTGCCTCAAGGTTGGACGTGTTGTGTGTTCAGAGATGCTCTTCTGCAGAGCTCGGTTGTAACGAGTGCTTATTTGAGTTACTGTTGCCTTTCTATCAGCTGAACCAGTCTGGCCATTCTCCTCTGACCTCTGGCATCAACAAGGCATTTGCGTCCACAGAACTGCCGCTCACTGGATAATTCCTCTTTTTCTGACCATTCTCTGTAAACCCTAGAGATAGTTGTGCGTGAAAACCCCAGTAGATCAGCAGTTTCTGAAACACTCAAACCAGCCCATTTGGCACCAACAACAATGCCACATTCAAAGTCACTTAAATCCCCTTTCTTCCCCATTCTGATGCTCGCTTTGAACTGCAGCGGATCGTCTTGACCATGTCTACATGCCTAGATGCATTGAGTTGCTGCCATGTGATTGCCCGATTCGAAATCTGTGTTAACAAGCAGTTAGACAGGTGTACCTAATAAAGTGGCCGGTGAGTATATATGATTCCAAAATCCAAATCATAACATACATGTATCTACACTTATTGACTTTGAATATAAAATGGTATTCATATTGTGGTTTTAGGGCTTTATATCCTTTACCCTTCCTGTTTTTTAAGGTAGGTGATTGCAAACAATTTATATGTGCTGAATTTAAACAAACCAATTCAATTTATTAATGTTCAACTTCATTTGTTTGTTTAAATTCAGCACATACGAATTGTTTGCATTCACTCACCTTAAAAAAAAAAGTGTAAATCCACTGAATAATTTTTTCAGTGTTGTAGATTTAACTTTCTCTCTCTCATACGGCAGGGTCAAGCTCCACCATGATGCCGGATATAAACACAGATACTGCAGGCAGAGGATTCCTCTTTCCAGAAAGCACAGCAGGTATAAACGCTGCCTATAGTCTACATGGGGACAGTAACTTCACCTGCTATTTTCAATAATGCACGCTTGAATTAACAGCCAATTTATTGTTATTAACTGCTGCGTCTGACCATCCGCTTGGGCATTAACTGTGTGCTGTAGTGAACAGGCCATCTGTCACAAACTGCAGGACAGTCCTGCGTAATAAATCCCTCCCAGCACCAGCAGATGGCGAGATTTGCTGCAAATGTCAAGTTTCTGTATTTTCCTCAGTGACAGAAATGCCAGTGGCAGCTACTGAAATGACAACCACAGTGAGGACTACTGCATCAACGACCAAAGGTAACCAAGATATCTGAAGCTCATTAAAATACATGCACTGGTAATTTCAGCATCCCACCACTGTGCAGTTAACCATTTAAAATCAAATTAACCAAGAAAAAAAATTATGCATAAATAAAACACACACTTGTACACATTTGCAAACATGAAGACAGTCGGAATAAGTAAATAAATAAAACACATGCATGCATACATAAGCATTTACATATAAATGCATACAGATAGACAGAAAACTGGACAGATAGAGAGTTAAATAAACAACATGTTGTAAACAATAATCCATTAATTAGCAGCTTCATTGATGCTATCATGTCAATATGGAGCAAAATCTCTGAGGAATTTTTCCAGTACCTTGTTGAATCTATGCCATGAAGGATTAAAGCAGTTTTGAAGGCAAAACCATGCCTCGTTCAAAGTCACTTAAATCCCCTTTCTTCCCCATCCTGAGGCTCGCTTTAAACTGCATCAGGTCGTCTTGATCATGTCTACATGCCTAAATGCATTGAGTTGCCGCCATGTGATTGGCCGATTAGAAATTTGCGTTAACAAGCAGTTGAACAGGTGTACCTAATAAAGTGGCCGGTGAGTGTATTTTGCCTCATGAAGATCATCTTTATGACAGCTTAAACAAGCAATGACATCTTTGCATCTAAAATGTGTAATCTGAGGCGATGACACTTAATAACAGTTGTCATTATAGCATGCATAAAATCTCATTCACATTCATCTTGTGTTTGCTGATTATAAAACGGTTTCATAAACACCCCTTTAAGTAATGTATTACAAAAAAAACAGTTCAAGGAAATATTATATATATTACCCGACAAGTCTTGTCATGGATCGCAGCTGTAAGAGCAACAAATAATATCTTGACTTCTAGTTAATCATTTGAAAAAAGTGTCAGAAGGTGGATTTCTCCCATGAATCATCTATTAAAATGCATCTCAATCATCACAAATACTGCAGAAGACCTACTGGAACCAGCATGGAGCCAAGATTCTCAGTCAAGTTTGGTGAAGGAGACATCATGGTTTGGGGTTACATTCAGTATGGGGGTGTGTGAGAGATCTGCAGAGTGGATGATCAACATCAACAGCCTGAGGTATTAAGACATTTGTGCTGCCCATTACATTACAAACCACAGGAGAGGGACAATTCTCCAGCAGGATAGCGCTTCTTCTCATACTTCAGCCTCCACATCAAAGCTCCTGAAATCAAAGAAGGTCAAGCTGCTCCAGGATTGGCCAGCCCAGTCACCAGACATCAACATTATTAAGCAAGATGAAGGAGGAGGCGTTGAAGATGAACACAAAGAGTCTTGATGAGCTCTGGGAGTCCTGCAGGAACGCTTTCTTCTTCATTCCAGATGACTTTATTAATCAGTGATTTGAGTCATGTCAGAGATGTATGGATGCAGTCCTCCAAGCTCATGATGGAGTCAGACACAATATTCATTCTGTCTCCACTGCAGCAGGACTTTATATTCTATACTGGACATTATTTCTGTTCAGTGATGAGACTTTAGTCTAAGCAGAGTCAGACCTTACTGTCCTAATGACATCAATCAAAATCAAGGCATGATCATATTATTGTGCTCAAATAAGCAAAATCTAGAGGCCTTTGCCATTCATATTGATCTTATTCTAAAATGCGGAAGTGCGCCTGTTATCGCGATTGTCTTAGAACTTCCGATTTAGTCGCCTATGGGAGAAATGACAGGGAATAATAAACGGCAGAAAATGGTCAAACTGCTTGCTCTACAAACAAATGTTTGCATGACTTTACAGACCAAGTAGAATAATATAATAAGGAAATATCAAATTGCAACATTAAGCAGCGTAATAAGCAGTTTTTAACGTAAAAAAATTAATGGAAGTGAATGAGACCGGAAGTCTCGAGCCAAAAAGATTCAAATGGCAGCGCCCACTCGTCGGCGGAGAATAAGGTGAATAGGCCACTTCTGACACCAAATGATCAACTAGAAGTCACCATATTATTTGCTGTTCCTAAAACTTGGATAGGCCACAAGACTTTTGTCAGGTTGTGTAGTGTTTTCCATTGAATATATTATAAAATGTACTTTAATCTTGTGATGCAAAGCTGAATTTTGTCATGATGTCATGATTATAAAAGTCTTATGAACACCTCTTCAAGCTTTTTGTATGTTTAGCTATATTTTTGACCAAACACATTGCCAAATTATTCATTACTCTCCATCTATGGTTTATTTCAGAGAAGCCCAGTATTCGTCTGGTGAACGGTCAGGACAGTTGTCAGGGCCGAGTGGAGGTGCTGTACTTCACCATCTGGGGAACGGTGTGTGACGATGACTGGGACATGGACAACGCTCAGGTGGTCTGCAAGCAGATGGGGTGCGGCCCGGCCCTCGCTGCCAAATCTCTGGCTTTCTTCGGCTACGGCTCCGGTCCAATCCTCCTGGATAACGTGGACTGTAACGGCAGCGAGAAGAAGCTGAGCGACTGCTTCAATCTGGGCTGGGGACAGCATAACTGCGGACATTATGAGGACGCTGGAGTCATCTGTGCACGTAAGAGAAAGAGCAAATATTACTAACATTACAGCTTTACTGAAATCATGTAGGATTGGGCATGCAAAATATCGTAAATGCATGACAAAAAAATTTATTTTCACTATGTTTTTTGGCAAGCATTTCAGATATTTTGTATGGCGAATCCTTAATGTTTTCAATAAAACTGTGAAAACAGATTTAAAATGCCACTTGACAGTGTTCTGGTGAAATAATACAACAATATACATGTATTTGGTGTTTTAAGCAGTCGGAATGATCACATTCAAATGAATAATTCTGAAAAGCAATGCATTATAATATGCATACATAAAAAATACAGACTGAAATTCAAACAGAACATCATTTACAAAATCCCATATCATTTAGTTACATATTATTATAGTTATTTTTTAAAAAATTAAATATTTGTAGTTGGAAAAGATAAAAAAAAATCAGGTTTAAGCTAATAAATAGGCAGTATAGTGGAGTGTATTGTAATAATTATACAAATGTCATAAGATATTCAGATTTTTGAAATCTGACTGCTAAAAAAATACCTTTTTTATTGGAGCACACCATAGACGTAATGTATTTTATACAGTAAAAACACTTATTATATGTACAAATAAGTCATACCCATGTCATTATACAACTTTGTGTCCCTGTAAACTACATAACTGTACACAGACACTTGTATACATGGTTTACAAAGACACTGCATAGGCGTAATGTATTTTATACAGTAAAAACAGTTATTGTATGTAAATTAAGTCATATCCATGTCATTATACAACTTTGTGTCCCTGTAAACAACATAAACCTGTACACAGACACCTTTATACATGGTTTACAGGGACACTCTATAGGCGTAATGTATTTTATACAGTAAAAACACTTATTATATGTAAAAGTAAGTCATACCTATGTCATTATACAACTTTGTGTCTTTCTAAACTACATAAAACTGTACACAGACACTTGTATACATGGTTTACAAGGACACTGCATAGGCGTGATGTATTTTATACAGTAAAAATACTTATTTATATGTGAAATAAGTCATACCCATGTCATTATACAACTTTGTGTCCCTGTAAACTACATAAAACTGAACACAGACACTTGTATACATGGTTTACAGGGACACTCCATAGACGTAATGTATTTTATACAGTTAAAACACTTATTATATGTACAAATAGGTCATACCCACATCATTATACAACTTTGTGTCCCTGTAAACTACATAAACCTGTACACAGACACTTGTATATATGGTTTACAGGGACACTTCATAGGCATAATGTATTTTATACAGTAAAAACACTTATTATATGTAAATTAAGTCATACCCATGTCATTATACAACTTTGTGTCCCTGTGAACAACATAAACCTATACACAGACACTTATATACATGGTTTACAGGGACACTCTATAGGTGTTATGTATTTAATACAGTAAAAACACTTATTATATGTAAAAGTAAGTCATACCTATGTCATTATACAACTTTGTGTCTTTCTAAACTACATAAAACTGTACACAGACACTTGTATACATGATTTACAAGGACACTGCATAGGCGGATGTATTTTATACAGTAAAACACTTATTATATGTAAAAATAAGTCATACCTATGTCATTATACAACTTTGTTACCCTGTAAACAACATAAAAGCACACAGGCATTTGTATACATGGTTTACAAGGACACTTCATAGGCGTGATGTATTTCATACAGTAAAAACACTTATTATATGTAAAAATAAGTCATACCCCGGTCATTATACAACTTTGTGTACCTATAAACTACTTAAAACTGTACACAGACACTTGTATACATGGTTTACAAGGACACTCCATAGGCGTAATGTATTTTATACAGTAAAAACACTTATTATATGTAAAAGTAAGTCATACCTATGTCATTATACAACTTTGTGTCTTTCTAAACTACATAAAACTGTACACAGGCATTTGTATACATGGTTTACAGGGACACTCCATAGAAGTAAATTATTTTATACAGTAACAACACTTAATATATGTACAAATAAGTCATACCCATGTCATTATACAACTTTTTGTCCCTGTTAACTACCTAAAACTGAACACAGACACTTGTATATATGGTTTACAGGGACACTTCATAGGCGTAATGTATTTTATACAGTAAAACACTTATTATATGTAAAAATAAGTCATACCTATGTCATTATGCAACTTTTTTACCCTGTAAAGTACATGAAAGCACACAGGCATTTGTATACATGATTTACAAGGACACTTCATAGGTGTAATGTATTTTACACAGTTAAAACACTTATTATATGTACAAATAAGTCATACCAACGTTATTATACAACTTTTTGTCCCTGTAAACTACATAAAACTGTACACAGACACTTGTATACATGGCTTAAAGGGACACTTCATAGGCGTAATGTATTTTATACAGTAAAAACACTTATTATATGTAAATTAAGTCATACCCATGTCATTTTACAACTTTGTGTCCCTGTGAACAACATAAACCTGTGAACAGACACCTTTATACATGGTTTACAGGGACACTCTATAGGCGTAATGTATTTTATACAGTAAAAACACTTATTATATGTAAAAGTAAGTCATACCTATGTCATTATACAACTTTGTGTCTTTCTAAACTACATAAAACTGTACACAGACATTTGTATACATGGTTTACAAGGACACTGCATAGGCGTAATGTATTTTATACAGTAAAAATACTTATTTATATGTACAAATAAGTCATATCTAGGTCATTATACAACTTTGTGTCTCTGTAAACTACCTAAAACTGTACACAGACATTTGTATACATGGTTTAAAGGGACACTCCATAGAAGTAAATTATTTTATACAGTAAAAACACTTAATATATGTACAAATAAGTCATACCTATGTCATTATACAACTTTGTGTCCCTGTTAACTACCTAAAACTGTACACAGACACTTGTATATATGGTTTACAGGGGCACTTCATAGGCGTAATGTATTTTATACAGTAAAACACTTATTATATGTACAAATAAGACATACCCACGTCATTATACAACTTTGTGTCCCTGTAAACTACATAAAACTGTACACAGGCATTTGTATACATGGTTTAAGGGGGCACTTCATAGACTTAATGTATTTTATACAGTTAAAACACTTTTAAATGTACAAATAAGTCATACCCATGTCATACAACTTTTTGTCCCTGTAAACTACATAAAACTACACAGACATTTGTATACATGGTTTACAAGGACACTTCATATGGGTAATGTATTTTACACAGTTAAAACACTTATTATATGTAAAAATAAGTCATACCCATGTCATTATACAACTTTGTGTCTCAGTAAACTACCTAAAACTGTACACAGACACTTGTATACATGGTTTACAAGGGATACTCTATAGACGTAATGTATTTTATACAGTAAAAACACTTATTATATGTAAAAGTAAGTCATACCTATGTCATTATACAACTTTTTGTACCTTTAAACTACATGAAATTACACAGTCACTTGTATACATGGTTTACAAGGACACTTCATAGGCGTAATGTATTTTATACAGTAAAAACACTTATTATATGTAAAAATAAGTCATACCCACGTCATTATACAACTTTGTGTCCCTGTTAACCACATACCTTTGTATCACACACACACAATCTTCACCTTTCACTACTCATCCAATGTTCTCAAACACATTCAGTACAAAATAACATCAGTTTCATATTGATTTGGCCCGTCTCATTCCTATCATTCACCATCACAATTAAAAATACAAAACTGATTCAAGATCAGCATCAGCAAGTTTCTAAGCCTCCACCGTAGGACAGTTGGCCGTGTCTCCATGAAAAATAAAGCGTGCCGTCAGAGCACATCATCATCAGCTCCGAGCCGCAGGGAAACGCAGCCTCAGCTCAGGCCACGTGCATCATAACACATACATAAATGCATGCATGTGTCTAATAGATGACCATTCAAGAGGAGAGCCAAACACTCAGATAAACACGAACCATTGAAAAGTATTAGCCCCCAGAGCGACCAAGTTACACCAGTGCAGAAACTATTTTTACTGCTAGTACACTACTGGTAGATTTTAGACAAAACTTTATTCATCTGCTAACAAGCATTGTGGGCAACACGGTGGAGGTCGCCTTACAGCAAGAAGGTTGCTGGTTTGAGTTCCCGCTGGGCCAGTTGGCGTTTCAGTGTGGAGTTTGCATGTTCTCCATGTGTTGGCGTGGGTTTCCTCAGGGTGCTCCGGTTTCAACCACAGTCCAAACACATGCGCTATAGGTGAATTAGATGGACTAAATTGGCCGTAGTGTATGAGTGTGTGTGAATGTGAGAGTGTATGGGTATTTCACAGTACTGGGTTACGGCTGGAAGGGCATCAGCTGTATAAAACATATGCTGGAAAAGTTGGCAGTAGCAATGTTGGCGATGTTGACCAATTTGGCATCATACGATGTCTAATCTGAAACATCGCGATGGACAATGGCATTGTCGTCGTTGGCGGGGGGGGTGGTGGTTGTTAAATATCAATTAATCCATAACGAATGAATTAATTGTAGCCTACCTTTTTCACCACCTGACCCACATGGTCTTTACTCATAACTAGAGCTGCACAATTAATCGTTAAAAGATCGCAATCTTGATTCGACCCCCTAGACGATCTTAATCCAGCATTTCTACGATTCTGTCAATCATGTTTTCAAGTTCAGGAGAGAAGAAAAGGCGGCTGCACGAGTCTTTTCATTGTTTCACACACATTGCTCAGTGACATTGACACCTCCAAATGATGTTGAATGAGTCACACAGTGTTTTTATATGGTATAATTCACCTAAAAATGTCATTTTTTGTCTAAACATGATGTTTTCGCGATCGGGAAATCAAACGTGACGTGTGCTGCTGACCATGAGCTGTTATCACAGAGAGGGCCAAGCTCTACTTAATGACAGACGCACGCGTCTACTTTAGTGAACAGAACCTGCATATGTTGCAAGTAACAGGTAATGCAGTTGCAAATAATATTCAGTTTGTGGCACAGAGTGATTGTTTGGGAGCCACGCGTGAAGTATGAACAGCACGTAGCAGTGAAAATGAAACCGAAAGTGTGCACTTCATTTAAATGATCATATCGCATTTTAGAGTTATGATTACGGCAAGCATTTGATATGTGTTTTCTTTTATAGCGAACCCACAGCTGTGCATGAAAATAAATGTTTACAATGTCAGTATAACTACTCTTGTCACGATATGGGGGTGGATGGAGAGGAGGCGAGGACCCAAATGCTGGAAATGAAGGTTTTATTAAGAAATAAAACAAAAACAAAACTCAAATCTCCCCATGTGGGGAAAAACACAACATTATCATACACTTAACTAGACAAGATCTGGAACTTGGCAAGACACACTAGGTTAGACCAGAAATCAGCAGACCTCATAGAACAGGGAAGGGAAAATCAACAACAGACCAGCACAGAACAGAGAACACTAGGAGAATAAATAGGAAAGACAAACCAATAAACAGACAGGCGGACAGGTGAAAATGATAATTACAAACAAGATAACAAGGTGGGTGGGACAAGACAATAGACGGGGGAGCGCATGACAGAGACGAGACAAGCCATGCACTCACATACACAGGACAAGAACATGCAGCCAATGAGAGAACTCATTAACCGCATGTTCATGACAACACAAACACAACACTGAAGCACACGACAAAAGCACGTGACCCCAATGTAAACACAGAGCCACGTGCTTTGACAACAGACGCAAGACACGAGCACACGATGAATGAAAGCACTCACCGTGCGCTCACACACGCAGCGTGCATGCTTCATCCCAGCGCCGACCAAAACCGAAACCAACAAGACTGAGACGCTGGGAATGAAACACCACGCTGCAGACAGACGAAAACACAAACACGAGTACAAGAGCGCACGCGTCTGAGGGACACCTGAGAGTACACCCATGACGGCGCGCGCGCACACAGAGACAGGACCAGACATGGGTAGTGTCCGAGCTCTGCCACCAAAACAAGAATTCACAAGACCAGAGTGGCAGAACCCTGACAACTCTAGTCTATATATTGTTGAATATAATCTGATAATGGCAAATGTCTGATTTTACCAGTGAATAAATTTGTCTAATATGACAGATTGCAAGCATATATCTCAAACATAATAATTCAACATCAGAATTATTATAAGTAGAATAGAATTATTTATAGAAACCAGTAGACCTACACATAATATTATCGATGTTGTGCCATATGTTTGTTTTTACCATACCTTTATTTTACATCTACAGTATCGTGAGAAAATCGTGATCTTTATTTTAAGCAAAAAAATCGCAATTCTCATTAAATCCAAAATCCTGCAGCTCTACTCATAACCATAAATAAAGTTACACACGATTTACCACCTGTCAATCAATATTTTCCCGCGGGACTCTGGCATGAATAGGCAGAGTGATCTGTGTAGTTCTAATGGCTCTTCCCACAGCTGGTGGAGGAGACGAGAGTTCGGTTGGAATTCACTGTAATTTGTATTGTAATTGATGATAACTTCCTTATTTTATTATTATTATGGGGAAATAATAACAAGTAAAGATGCTCGACCGTTTTGGTTGCATATGCGTTGAACATTTTTTTTATGCGACCTTAAAATATATTTGGAAGCATTTGTGCTAGCGCATACATTTTCTCGGCAAAATCCTCACCGCATGCACGGATTTAAGAGACATTTATGCAGAATGCATCTTTGCACCTAAAAACTCCAAACAGGAACAGATTAAAACAGTTGTTATGTGAATTTGCTGAAGTAAAAAAGCCAGCAATGCATGCCCCGCCTTTGTGCTTTTCTTATTGGCCCACTGCTCTATAACTGAACGTGAATAAATTGGTTAATATCAGCTGTCAATCACTCAGTCAATGCCTTCTGCCTTCAGATGACAGGAGCTACAACCGCGAAAATGTGATGCGCTGAAGATGAGAGAATGAAAAAAACACTGACAGATTTACCTACAGTTACTAATAATGGCACATCTTATTAGTGATCATGTGCTGAAAGTTGATCCACCATTTACACTTTTCCAAGAGTGGATAAAAGACTTCCAGTGGCTTCAAGTCCGCTATGAACATGACTAAAGCCATTCACTTTAGAGTCTGTGGGACAAGGTTTGCAGGTAACAGCGTTTACAACTGAATCTACACATTTTAAGCGTGACAGGTACTGTATAATTCTTAATTTAATCTCCACGATGCTTTCAGCCGTGCAAGCGTCAGCTATATGTAAAATTTAACACAGCTCATAAAAAGATCAAGATTGCTATCAAGATGACATACCAATAATAAGTTATATATCAATATAAATGTGGGGCAGGGCGATGGATCGTGATGCCGGCTCAGCATCGTGAAGTTCATCAGAAATTAGCGATGGAAGATGCCCAACCCTAGTTGGCGGTTCATTATGCTGTGGTGACCCCTGATGAATAAAGGGACTAAACCGAAATGAACGAATTTCAAACAGTGTGTATTACCTCCAAAACTCAGACCAACAACAGTTCATATACGGCTCAAAATAAGCTTAATTCATCAAACCACTAACAGCAATTCTTATTAAGAAAACACACATTTTAACCTTAACAGACTGACCTATAATACACTAATGCTGATTTCACACCAGACGCAGAGCACGCGTCAAGCACGAGTGATTTACATGTTAAGTCAATGCAAACGTGCGAATAGACATCCTGCAGCGCGATATGCGCGAATGGCGCAGCACGAATGACGGAAATGGGCGAATGGCGCGGCGCGAATGACGCGAAATGTGCAAATGGCGTGACACGAATGACGCGAAATGTACGAATGGCGTGGTGCAAATGGTGCGATGCGCGAAAATTAGCCATTTTGCGTGTTGGACACGCTTTAGCACGTTTCGTGCAAATCGCTCGAATTTGAACATCTGAACTTCAGCAGACATTCGTGCCGCATTAACCAATCAGAAGCTTGCTCTTGTGGGGGCGTGATTATGACGTATCGCCTGTTGTAGGTGTCCCGGGGGAAATCCTCCAGCCGACACCGACAAAAATCAAAACTTGGCTGGGCTCAGTTAGAAGCACCGCTGAAAGTCTCCGTCACCAAGGTTCAGTTTCTGGAGGAGTTTATGAGCTCACAGAGCTGGATGCACCTCTGAAAGAATCTAGTTGACTCAGACACGACCCTAAATGTATCGACGCTGTTTTTCAGCCGTCATAAAGCCCATGAACATTGTTTTTTTCTTCATAAAATCCATGTTAGCTATTTAGCAATGAAGCTGGAGTCACCGGTCTGACAATAGCCCATCACGCGAATCCGCGTCTGTTCTGAAGTGAATTTGACGCGCGAATGAAGCGAGTAAACTCAAATGTTTACGCGGCTATTTACACGCAAATATCGCGATTTATCCGCGCGTTCCACGTCTGGTGTGAACGCAGCATGACAGCAAGCTGTTACAGAAATAAATACTTAAATTTTTGAAAGTTATATGAATTTTAATGTACATCAGAATGTAAGTTGACATTCACTTTTTCACTGTCTTGAATGTGCTGACTTTGTGATAAAAATGAAAAAATACATTAGTTGTAAACGTATTCACCTTATTCTTTGCGTACGAGCCGGCGCAGCCATTTGAATCTTTTTGGCTTGAGCCTTCTGTCTCATTCACTTCCATTCATTTTTAGACGTTAAAAACAGCTCATTTTGCTGCTTGATGTTGCAAACTGACATTTTCCTATTATATTATTTTGCTTTGTCTGTATAGTCATGCAAACACTTGTTTGCAGGGCAAGTAGTTTCACCATTTTCTGCCGTTTATTATTCCTGGTCATTTCTCCCATAGACAACTAAATCGGAAGTTCTAAAACAAGCGCAAAAACGAGCGCACATCCGCATTGAAGAATAAGATCAATAGATCTAAGGGAAAACCACTGTTTTTTGCTGCTTGTAGAGAATGAATGACAAAAGTGTTTGAGAATTTAGAAAAATGTGTTTATGCATGCGTTAATGTGCATGTATTAAAGACGAATTGTAATGCATATTCAGTCATAATAATAAACAAAAGAGAACCAAAATATGTTAACTAAGTCCTGTAAGTTTAAGTTATCCATTTGTTGTGTTTTCTTTCTTCCAGCACCTATGGATTTTGTGGTAATGGGAAGAGACTTTGCAGGGATAACAGACAAGCCTTCAATAACTACAACTACAACTGCAACAACCACAACTACAACACCAGCGGATGGTAAGAACACAAGATTGTTTTCACAAATACTGCAATGGAAAATCACGTGTATGTTCACCAGATTCTGTAGTCATTTCCAACCCAAGCTCATTCCGAAAACGTAGCCCCACGAACGTTTCTGGAGGCCGCGATTTACGTAGCCGGAGGAACGTATGGCTGCATTTTATTTTTTTAACCGAACGATACGGGGTGGTGTGATGCTGCTCCTCTTCGCGCTCGCCGGCTGATGGCTCACTTTCGTGTGGAGGGCTTTCAAGCCACAACCAGTTTGTCCGGTTAGCTCGCCGTGTACGTTGCCGGGGCGGAGATCAGAAAGGGAGCTGACCGCGAGGACGCCGACGACAGAGTTCGAGTCCGGGGAAGAGCGGTTCCAGAAATCAGGTAAGACAAAACAGGGTGAGAATGTGGTGAAATCTGAAAACGCGGTCAAAATCAGACAAAAGCTTTTCTTCATCTGGACGGCTTTTGTAAATCATGGCTTGGGTTTAGGGAAGCGAGCGGGCAGGCGGGCGGATGGGTCAATCTGTAAAACCGATTGGGTTTAGGGAAGGAGGAGGAGGAGGGTGGGCTGGCCGATTGGCCAGTCGCCCAGTCAATCATTCAGTCATTCAGTCAGTCGGACAGACGGTCACTCGACAGTGGCCTCCGGTGGCTTTACGCGAGAACAGCGCGGGCGCACACGGCGCTCACAAGAGGCGTTCGAGAAGCGAAAAAGTGCACCCAACGACCCCTCGCGGATTCGCAAAAACAAAAACTGCACAAATACGTAACTCCCAGGATGTATTTCGCGGTCTCCAAAAACACTCGTGAGAGGCGTTCGAGATGCGAAAAAGCGCGCACAACGGCCTCTTGCGGATTCGCAAAAACAAAAACTGCACAAATACGTAACTACCAGGATGTATTTCGCTGTCTCCAAAAACACTCGTGAGAGGCGTTCGAGATGCGAAAAAGCGCGCACAACGGCCTTTCGCGGATTCGCAAAAACAAAAAATGCACCAATACGTAACTCCCAGGATGTATTTCGCGGTCTCCAAAAACATTTGTGAGAGGTGTTCGAGTTGCGAAAAAGCGCGCCCAACGGCCTCTTGCGGATTCGCAAAAACAAAAGCTGCACAAATACGTACCTCCCAAGATGTATTTCGCGGTCTCCAAAAACATTTGTGAGAGACGTTCGAGATGCGAAAAAGCGCGCACAATGGCCTCTCGCGGATTCACAAAAACTGCACAAATACGTAACTCCCAGGATGTATTTCACGGTCTCCAAAAACATTCGTGAGAGGCGTTCGAGATGCAAAAAAGCGCGCACAACGGCCTCTCGCGGATTCGCAAAAACAAAAACTGCACAAATATGTAACTCCCAGGATGTATTTCACGGTCTCCAAAAACATTCGTGAGAGGCGTTCGAGATGCAAAAAAGCGCGCACAACGGCCTCTCGCGGATTCGCAAAAACTAAAACAAAAACTGCACAAATACGTAACTCCCAGGATGTATTTTGCGGTCTCCAAAAACATTCACGAGGCTACATTTCCAGAATGAGCCTGGGTTGGCCATTTCTCAATACGGGGAAGGTTTCTAAGAGTTATATTTAAGACTTTTAAAGATCTTTATAAAACCACACTGAATTAGCAAAAATTATAAATGAATACCATCCTTTAGTGTCCCTCAAAGGGACATATTTTGCAAAAATCTCTTTTACAAGGGGAACTTCTCCATTCCTCTAAAACACCCTCAAACTTCAGAGGGTTAAAGCTAACAGACTGACACTAACATTTAAATTTGTTCCTTTAATAAAGACCCTTCTCTATCTCTCTCTCTCTCTGTGTGTGTGTGTGTGTGTGTGTGTGTGTGTGTGTGTGTGTGTGTGTTAAAGCCTCCATCAGGCTGATTGGCGGTGTGCATCGCTGTGAGGGTCGTGTGGAGATTTACCTGAGAGGAGAATGGGGAACGGTGTGCGATGACGCCTGGGATCTTACGGATGGTACGGTGGTGTGCAGACAGATGGGCTGCGGCGGGCCAAGAGTGGCTCAGGGCTCAGCGTTTTTCGGTCCCGGTCGTGGCACCATCCACATGGACAATCTGAAATGCACGGGCGCAGAAGCCACTCTCATCCACTGCTCACACATAGCATGGAACGTCCACAACTGTGACCACTCAGAGGACGCCAGTGTCACATGTGCACTCTAATGACACAGGCCACGCCCACCTGGCTGATCCAATGGAAACACTAGAGTGGAAAAGGACTTGTATAAGTTGTACATAACACCTCACGCCAACCTTGATGGATAGATTAATAAAATGTTATGGGTATTTGGGTTGGAAACAAGAAGATGAAAAATAAGTTATGCCAATATTGTTATACAGGGTGGGTGAAAAGTAACCAGGGTTCAAATGGGACCTATTATGCAGAAATCTCTTTAAACACAGTTGTGTGTCAGCAGTGTGCGAATATAACCAGCCTCTAATGATACAATTTTTAAATTGTATTATTTTTAATAATATTTAATTATAATAATTATAATATTTAATTGTATTATTTATAATCAGACTTGATCAAAACAGTCTGCAGAAACACTTTGATTGACATTCTCACTTTGTACGTGTCATCAGAGGGGCAAAGCCCCGCCCACTAGTGACAAGGGCTGTGCAATTAATCAGAACATTGCCATTAGCTAATCTTGAGGCTGCGATATGAAATATGTATTATATAATTTCCCAGAGCAAATGCATGAGTGCCATCTGTATGTGATAGACTTGTTAGTCAACTGAGGGAGCACACTTTCATTCTGCCCAATCAGAATTGCACAACCGACCTATGCAGAACGCTCACAATAAAGCAAACAAACAGGAAAGCGTGAACAAGTGGGATGATGGCGTCTGCCGCTTCAGAAGCGTTAATAGGACAAATTACAGTTTTTTCCAATTGTTTACACACATTTTCTCTAAGCAGGTCTCAGAACTCTACACACAAATCACAAAACACACACACAACAAATACAATTTAAAAAGTTGCCTGTAGAACTTGAATAAAAAAAAACACATAAAGAAATTAGTACCAAGCTTGTTTGTTTGTGTTTTGTGTATCAACATGCGAAATATGCAATCCAGGGTGGCACAATGGCTCAGTGGTAATTACTGTCGCCTCACTGCAGGAAGGTCGCTGGTTCGAGTCCCAGCTGGGTCAGCTGGCGTTTCTGTGTGGAGTTTGCATGTTCTCCCCATGTTGGAATGGGGTGCTCCGCTCTCCCCCATAGTCCAAACACATGCGCTATAGGTGAATTTGTTGAATTAAATTGAGTGTGGTAGTGAATGAGATTATATGGGTGTTTCCCAGTACTGGATTGTGACTGGAAGGGCATCCGCTGCATAAAACATATGCTGGTATAGTTAGCGGTTCATTCCACTGTGGCGACCCCTGATTAATAAAGGTACCAAGCCAAAAAAAATGAATGAATGCCAATTTAGTTCATCAATTCCCCTATAGCATGTGTTTGGACTGTGGGGGAAACCAGAGCACCAGGGGGAAACACGAGGAGAACATGCAAACTCCTCACAGAAATGCAAGCTGGCCAAGCCGTGACTCAAACCAGTGACCTTCTTGCTGTAAAGCAATAATGCTAACCACTGAGCCACCGTGCCACCAAATCTTTGTTAGTTTTAGTAAATTTTAGTTTTATTTTATTTAGAGTCTGGTTACTGTTCACCCACCCTGCATACATAATAAACCTTATGAACAACAATTCTAATTATGCACTTTATAAAGTATATGAATGTGTACACATAAGTGAGTAAATATGCTGAACATATTTTAAGCTATTGATGATACAGTGGAAACCAAAGTTTTAGATTCTCCTCGCTTTAGGTTGTTGTTTTAAATGTAGTCTGGAAGCAGTGAGTTTATTATGCCATAAAAAAAACTGATGTACTGTACTGCTACTACTCGCTCTTTTTCTAAATACAAAAAGGTTTGATAATGAAAGTGGTTCTGTTTCATTAATTAAATGCATTTGTATTGTAGTCAGAAAAAAAGTGCTCAGGTCAATTTTGATTGGGATAATATTGATTTTAATGCAAAATGTCATTTTTTTGTTGTCTATTTTCCTTCTTTTTGAATTAATGGGATAAAGGAGATTTTGCATGTGAATTGAAGAAAGTAAACAATGCCAATGGCTTTATTAACCTCTTAACAAAGGTAAATATTTATAAGAAATGTGGGCCTAAAGGGATTAGCCCCACTGTTTATTTTTTCCCCAATTTCTGTTTAACGGAGCAGATTTTTTTCAACACATTTCTGAACATACCAGTTTTAATAACTCATCTCTAATAGCTGATTTATTTTATCTATGTCATGATGACAGTAAGTATTAGACTAGATATTCTTCAAGACACTTCTATACAGGTTAAAGTGACATTTAAAAGCTTAACTAGGTTAATTAGGTTAACTAGGCAGGTTAGGGTAATTAGGCAAGTTATTGTATAATGGTGGTTTGTTCTGTAGACTATCGGAAAAAAATAGCTTATAGAGGCTAATAATTTTGACCTTAAAATGGGTTTTAAAAAATTAAAAACTGCTTTTATTCTAGCCGAAATAAAACAAATAAGACTTTCTCCAGAAGAAAAAATATTATCAGACATACTGTGAAAATTTCCTTGCTCTGTTAAACATCATTTGGGAAATATTAAAACAAATTAACAAAATTTCAAAGGAGGGTTAATACTTCTGACTTCAACTGCATATATAGAGTGCTCAGCATATATAAGTGCACCCCTTACAAAGCTTTCTTTTAAATTTATATTTGTAGTAGGAAGCTCTCCAATATTATATTTGTGCATATGCTTTAGATTAGTTAGTTAGATTAGTCAGTACTGAAGTCAAATCTGGTGCTCATCTAACAAAATAACTTACGATAACGGTCCAAAAACTAGTACACCAAATTTATGTTATAGAAAAATATTAAATACAAATTTTAAAAAGGGAAAAAAAATCAAGAAAAGCAAAAATATTGATACATTTAGTTGAAATGTTGCAGTTTGTAATTTATTTTTGCAATATTTTGCTTGAATTTAATTGTATTGTCTCTTAATTTCTAAATTATTTGGTGACTAAAATGTTACTTTAATTAATATATCTGTTTAATAAATCTGTTTTGTTTAAATGCACCAAAATACATTACCCATTCACTGAGAAATGGAGAAAAATATTCATTTTCAAAACGGCCTTTACTCAATGATGCTGAGCACTGTATAATATATAATGCACAATTAAACATTTGGTATAAAAAAAGTTAGGTAAAGAATTAAGTAATTTAAAAAAAGGAGAGAGACAAAAAAAATAATCGAAGAATGTTTTGATGTGACTTTTATTGTACAGACTTAGCGCATATTGGGGTGAAATGTCAACATTTTATTACTATTACAATTAATAATAATAATAATAATAATTATTATTATTATTATTATTATTTTTATTATTATTGTCATCATCATTATTATTATTATTATTATTATTATTATTATTATTATCATTATTATTATTAGAGTGATTTCTGAAAGACATGTGACTGGAGTAAAGAAGCTGAAATTCATCTTTAAAAATCACTGGAATAAATGATTAAATTAAATGATAAACTACACTTGAACAGTTATTTTATAGTGCCATAACAATTCATAATTTTACAATTTGTCCTGTATTTATGATGATAAAATAAATGCAGACTTGTTGAGCAGGACAATCTTATTTTAAAACATTTAAATTATAATTTAAGTTAAATTATAATTATATATGAACAATTATATTAATATATTAACAATAATATATTAACAATTATAAATTAAATTTATTATTTTATATATATATATATATATATATATATATATATATATATATATATATATATATATATATATATATATATATATATATGCTTGTTAACATTAGGTAATGCACCTTGAACAGCTGTATTTTACCATTTTAACCGGAACAAACACTTCAATAAATATTATTAATAAAGTAATGTGGTGTAAAAAAAAAAACTATTTACACCAAATCTAACTTGTTTATAGCCATAAAAGTTTATATGGATACTGACATGAGACTTTCTGTCATGTACATGAGCCCAAAATAACAGTCAGAGGATGCAGCTGAAGAAAACATGCTCAGTTTACAATAATAACACAACAATAACCTCATCCTGACGTCATTACTAACATGAACTGATTATGAACACTATCTGTGCAGCATTTATTAATCATAGTTCAACACCAATGCATTAATAACATCCAAAGTCATGCGTGTTAACATGAATGCACTGAAAGTTAACATGAACTCACAATGAACAGCTGTATTTCATTAACTAACATGAACAAACACTGCAATAACCATTTTGTTTGCTCGAGTAAGTGAACGCATTAGCCAATGCAACCTTATAATAAAGTGTGACCTTTTTTGTTTCACTTGATGATTCGGCAAGTCAGAGTCGCGCACAATAACCCCAGGCTGACGTCAGGACGCAGAGCAGCCTGGTGACGCAACCCAGTGAAAGCGTCCAGGAGGAGGCGCGTCCTGCATCGGCACGCGTTCAACAGCAGAGAGCAGGGGAAAGAGAAGCGGACAGAGGAGCTTTACAGTCGCCAAAAAAAAAAAAAAAAACCCTGAGAGCACTCATACTGCACCCCAAAACTGAACATGGTCGACCGCGAGCAGCTGGTGCAGAAAGCCAGACTGGCCGAGCAGGCGGAGAGATATGATGATATGGCTGCAGCCATGAAATCGGTAAGCGCAACTTTTGCATTATCCTGTATGTCAATTGTATAATTAATAATTACGCAATCCGGGTAGTCATTACAACGCGAGTTGTAAAGTGTCCAAATCACGCGGGGTTATTCTTGTGAAATAGAAATGCATCGGCTTTGTCGCATTGCTGCTGTATAAATCCTGCTGATTTTGCCTGATCGAGTCTTTTCGGTGATTCTGATTTTGGCAATATTATCGATTACACTATGCGCGCGTGTTTTGGCTATTATAAGTGACTCCGGACTCACTTAACAGGGTATAGTCCTGCTGAAACGATGACGAAGGTTATTTGGGAATATTATAGGTCACTCATTTAAACCGGAGTAAATGAACAAGAATCCCCAAGAATTGTGATGAACGGGGGGGCAGTGGATGTTTTGGGCGGTGCCTTTTTAAGCACACATGGACACATCATTAATGCACGCTTACAATACTTACACCAGCTCTGCATGCAATTCCACTGACGCTTTTACGCAACGGCTTGGCGCGTCATGCATCATGTTAAAGTGCTTGATTTGCACGAGCAAGGTGTGTTTGTAGTTGGTAACAATGCAAACACTCCAAATTTGAGTTGTTGTCTTTGTCTGTGAAGGAGGTAGCAATAGCCTGGGCTGATTAGTGACAGCTCCTTCACAGATTCGCGGTTGAAGATGTCAAAAA